TCTAGAGACATTCAAACATTTACATTTATTCACTTTGAAGATGCTTTGTCCAAAATGACTTACAGACGAGGAACATAAGCAATTTATCACAGAACCAATAAAATTCCATGTGCACAATACCAGGTTCATTAGAAGGAAGATCATTAGAACGTAAATGGTGACCGAATCTATCAGTCTCCAACATTCTGTCCGACATCTTTTGTTTGTTACAGGGGGACGGGGGGAGAGACATCTCTCTTTTCTCTCTTATCTCTTCATTTTTTGGTTCTGTAATAAAAGCTGTTGAACAGAATGTTAAATTATGTGGCTGTCATTCTGTCCAACATCTTCTGTGTTCCACATAAGAAATGAAGTCACACCATACAGGTTTGGAACGACACCTTGACAATTTTCATTTTTGAAGTGAACAACCACTTCAGTAATAGCGACAATGAAAGATGCAAGGAGACTGACGGAAGTAGTAGCTGTAAAGATGCACAGTCATAGTATGTATAAACTCTTGGTGTTTTATTAAGTTAACTGATCAGCTATTTAAAGCCTTGCAGGTCACAGCAGGAAAAGAGTAGTAACTGCTGTGGTTTATGTATGTTGTGAATGCACACTACTTAAACTTTGTATGGCTGCCAGCTGTCATGCACGGAAAGACACAGGTAGGTCACTGTGTAGTAGGCCACAGAGACAAACATTCCCCATCCGCAGAAAGCTCACCCGCACTAGTTCAGTCCACCTCGTCCGCTGGCTGCACGAAATGACACAGAGCGGTCGCTGCTTTGAGACGAGAGGCGCGCAGGCGGATCTTGTGAACGCGTTGCCATGATTTAACCTTGCAGTGGCGCGGGCGACGGAGCGCACACAGTATGCAAGCGCACGGCACGCCATATCTGTGAATTTCTATCCAACAATTCACTGCGACAAACTGAACATAAGTTTGAGGTGCGCGTGCGCACTTTGTCGGGGGAAGTCCGGCTGTTTTCCGCGAATCGGTTCTTTTGAATAGTTCGTTCAAAACTGAATGAATCAAATTCATTGAGAAGATCCGATTTAAACGAATGATTCATTCACGAGTCATGCATCACTATTAAGAGAACGTTTCCGCGAATCGGTTCATTTAAACAGTTTGTTTTAAAGAACCGCCCCAGAAACCGAACTATTGAACCGTATGAACGAATCCAATTCATTGAAAAGATCCGACTCAAAACTATTTCACGAATCGGAATTATTATTTACTAAGTTATATTTAACTGATAGCTGTAGAATTACATAATATGTCATTTAAATTATGGAATACTCTGTATGCGCAATATTTAAAATAATAAGGCTTTTATTTTGAAACTATCATGTCTGCCAGTTACGCATGGGATTTTAAGGAAATGGTCTATCGAAGTAAATTTATTTAATCTACGCTGTAAACTAGAAACGAAAAGCAGTCAGAGTAATACATTTTTTTGCACGACCACTGAATAAAGCGTGCGCGATCTAATGCTTCCTCTCGACACACGCTCCGAAGCCTCGGCACAGAACGTAACATCACTAGTTTGCTCTGCGCAGAGGAATGAAAAACAGAAGACTGGACGTAAATAATCCACAACCAGCATGCTGCACAACAACAACAGTTAAAGCTGGGTCAATAACAAGGCAAACAGCATATGCTAACTGTGCCTTTAATAGTCAGTCTTTATTAGTCATTATAAATATTGTCACAAAACTTCTTGATGCACCACACAGAAGAAGAATAACTGGTCTTGTTTTGCACGAGAAGGGAAGCATGGAGCCTGCGAGCCTGGAGAACTTGTGTGTTTTGTACCACAGTGCAAACTATATAGTTGTCAACAAACACTGGGATATCCGTATCGACAGCAAAATGTGGTATGAGAAACAGACTGTCCAGAGTCAGCTGAAGCATCGCTTCCCAGAGCTTGCAGATCCTGGCACTTACTACGGCTTCAGGTTTTCTGTTACTTTGCCATGTGCCGAGACGAACAATTATTTAAACAAGCACATGTATCTTATCAGTAGTTCATTCGTGTGTATTCTGATATTCTGCAGGTTTTGCCATCAACTGGATTTCTCTACCAGTGGTGCTTTGTGTGTAGCACTGAACAAGGCAGCAGCAGGGCATGCGTATCGCTGTTTTAAAGACAGACTTGTGACCAAAGCTTATCTCGCTCTGGTACTGTAACATTCAGACGTTCATTGGATTTGGATGTATAGAAGGTTTTTCATAATAATATAGGGCATTAATATTTCCTGTGCAGGTCCGTGATATTGTGGCTGAGGAGAAAATGGCCCTGGACTTTGCGATCGGCAAGAACACAACAGAGGGCAAGACCCATATGATGTGTACTGAAGGAACAGACGGTCAGAATCTCTTTTGCTCCAAACTAAACACTCAAATTAAAGAAAATTTGCTTTAAATTTACTCACCCTAAGGCCATCACAATGTAGATGAGTTTGTTTCTTCATCAAAACAGATTTGGAGAATTTTAGTATTACATCATTTGCTCACCAATGGTTCCACTGCAGTGAATGGGTGCCATCAGAATGAGTCCAAACAGCTGATAAAATCATCACATAATCCACAAGTAATCCACACAACTCCAGTCCATAAATTAATGTCTTGTGAAGTGAAAAGATGTGTGTTTGTAAGCAACAAATCCATCATTAAGGTGGTTTAACTTTAAAAGAGTTACTTCTGGCCAAAATATGTCCATAATCCATAATAATGCTTCCTTCAGTGGAAAAGGTTAATCTCCTGTTGTCCTCTCACATCAATAATCCACTGACATATTTGTTTAAAACTGTTCTGGACTGTTTTTGCACGTAAACGGTGCTTGTTCTGTGTATATTGCTCTCCTGATTCAGACATTCATTTTTTTTTACTGGAGAAAGCAATATTATGGCTAGAGGACTAATATTTTAGCTGGAAGATAAACATTTCTTAATCATAGATTTGTTTCTAACAAACACACAGCTTTTCATTTCACACAATGTTAATTGATGGACTAGAGTCACTTTTTATCAGCTATTTGGACTCTCATTCTGACGGCACCCATTCACGGCAGAGGATCCATTGGTGAGCAAGTGATATAAAGCTATTATATTATAGTATTACATTATAATTTATCCAATTCTGTTCCGAAGAACAAACAAACTCATCTACATTTTTGATAGCCTGAGGGTGAGCACATTTTCATTTTTGGATGAACTATTCCTTTAAACTAATAGAAACGCATTCATGCATCAATTTCATATTATGTGTGGTAGGTTGTGAGAATCCTAAGACCTGTCAAACAGAGCTGACAGTTTTAGAGTATGGAGAATATGACGGAGATCCAGTGACAAAAGTGCTTCTGCAGCCTCTGACAGGTACAGCATCATCAACAATACAGACAAAATATAGATGAAATATACTGTCAAATAAAAAAAAAAGTAAAAGTATTAAAAACCCTGTAGGACGGACGCACCAGCTCCGAGTTCACTGCAGCGCCGTTGATCACCCCATAGTGGGAGACTACACTTACAGTCTACGCACAGACAATGCTCCGTATCGCATGATGCTGCACGCCTACTTCTTGCACATCCCACTAGAGAATGAACCCATCCACGTCACAGCCCCAGATCCCTTTGTACCCACCCTCGACTCCAAATGGGCACCACAAAGATGTGTGAATGTTCTGGAGGATTTACTGAAGAATATTTTGACAAAACCACAAACTGAAATCCAAGACGATCCAGAGTCAGTGCACGGGAGGAGCAGCCCAGTGGAGAGTGAGGAGCAACAGGCACAGTGTCAGCAGTGGTTATGTGAGTGGAATCTGGACTGAGGAACCCTTACGCTGTTTTACCAGTACAGTACTGAAGCTATACTGCAGTGTCCCCAGCTCTATAGAGTACCCTTTTCTTTAAAAGGTAGTCAGTAGTCAGTGCTCCTCAAGAACTGATGGCATAAAGGGGTTTTGAACCAATTGGCTGATCTGTGTATGAAGAAGAGCACTGTGTGCCATAGTGTACATTATAGATAACTCCCGCTTTTGTCCATTTACATTACCATTCAAAAGTTTGGGGTTGGTAAGATTTAAAAAAAATAAATTTAAAAAAAGTAAGAAAGTGATTTGCTCACCAAGCCTGCATATATATGATCCAAAATACAGTAAAACAGTAATGTTGTGAAATATATTTACAATTTAAAATAACTATTTTCCATTTTAATATATTTTAAAATGTCATTTATTTCTGAATATATTGCTGAATAAAATTATGAATTTCTTTTAATAAAAATCTTACTGACCCTGAACAGTTGAACAGTAGTATACATAATTTGAACAAAACATATTGAAAGAAAAGGGAGAGCATGATATTAGAGTGCCAAGAGGAAGAACTTTTAAAAAATCCTTCCCATCAAGCATCTTTACCTCTTTCAAATGCAAGTATTCTAAATGTCCGAGTGGTATTGTTCATTGTATGAATGTGTAACTGTCTGGTTTTAGTATTTGTGCTTTTAAAAAATGTATGACATAATTTTTATGTTTATTTTTTTTTTAATTAGTTTTTGTTGCGGTCTAGAAGGGGCCAAGACTCGCCGTTTTTTCCACTACACAAACAGGCAAGTTACAGTATACATAGATGAAAGGTCTTCTTAATTCTTGTACTTAAATTGTGTGAAGCATGTTTATAGAAATCCATTGCTTCAGATAAACTGAACAATCCCTTCCTCAAAAAATGCAAATGTAGCTGTATTTTTTGCATGTCATCCTGTTCCTTGTACTGTTAGATAATATTTGCAAGACTATTAGTGCAGTTACATTTACTGTTGTTCAGCAAACATTCACAGGCAAAATCCAAAAAGGATTTTAAATAGGAATTCACATGATCAAGATCTGAGGGAGAAAAATGTCCCCATGCAGATTCTTACAACAGGTTCAAGTTGGTCACAAGTTGGATTCACCACTTTGACCAACAGAAAGCTGCTTGATTTGAAAATGACATTTGTGTGAGCTGTGCTTCAAACATCGCTACACTATTGACAGTAGACGAGGTGTTTTTGTTAACCAAAATTTCACTAATGTGACTGCACCTTACAAAAGGAGCATGTTGTTTGGTAAAAGCCCCCAAAACGTGCTGTGGTCATTTCAAATGTATTTATTATCTGTAATCTGTGTCTGTAATCTGTGTTTACAAACAGAAAATGTTTAGTGTTGCAGAAATGGCAAAGTTTAATAAATAAAGGCCCTTCAGTCTAACAGCAAATCACTGTCATGATATTTTTTTCCAGCCACACCAGCAGGACTGCAGTGTACAGTGACATTATATGAGATACACTAACAGAAATCGAAAAATACTGACATGAAAACAAGGATATGGTGTTTTGCATACAAATCACATATTTTATCATTTCATATTCTGTTATCATCATAGCGAGGGATTTTTACTGCAAGTGAATACAACTGTGAATAAAACTAATAGTGGCATTTCTTTGTTTGAGATTTACAACTTTTAACTTAGAGCTAAAGAGATGGTTGGGGAATATTAGTCCATATTGGTTCCTTTGGTCCCAGAATGAAAGTGAGCGAGACAAAAACTAAAAGTTCAGTCCTAGATCTGGCTGAGAGGGAGGAATTTCTGGTAGTAACTCTTGGTAACGTCGATCATCAGTTCCTGTGTACATTCAGGGAGCTCTCCTGAAAACAAACCTGAAATACAGAATAAAAAAGCTTAGACTATATTTACATTTACCAAGAAAGAAATAAAATAATATATCTGAAGGTACCCACCTGGACAGCCAGAGAATATTGTAAATGGAGGAACCACTGTCTCTGGGGGAAGGACAGTATTATCCAGTATCTTACAACAGTCCTTCAAGACACAGCGCCGACCCTAAAAAAACATGCATCACAATTAAGCACCATCAGGTGTTACACCCACGAACCAAATGGGAAGTTACAAATGAGGGAGCTACTTGCAATCACACAGTTCTTGCCAATGTGGACGTATGATCCTATCTGTGCAGCGTTGACAACACAGTCCTCCTCTATGAACACATGATCCCCAATATGCAAGGGGAAGAAAGCCACGCTGATGTACACAGAACAAGAACAAACGTAAGCAAGTTAAATCATACGAACTGTTTCAGTGAGAATACAGATGTTTTACATTAAATCACCCTTTGCTGAATTTCTTGAACGGAGGTCTGATCACACTGCGACTTTTAATGACACAGTGGCGCCCAACTCTGACATTAGCGAGATCTCCTCTGATGATGCAGTCATTCATCACGACAGTCTGAAAAAGAGGCCATTTCACACAGTTAACACACAGCTGGGGAAAATAACAAGACGAAATAAATTAGAAAAATCTCACTTTTCCATTGAGAACAATGTTTTGACTGCCGCAAAGAACCGATTGTCTGCTGACTTTGTTGCCTGATGCCTAGAGAAATCAAATGTGAACGTTACCATCACATGACGGTCCAGCTCTGGGCTGCTGTGAGCATTTAAAAAACACCATGTGCAAATGATACAGACGTTTACTGACTGGTAAGTTATGACAAACTAACACTTTTGTGCTGGTGAGTCATCTTTGTTTATAATACAATACACATTCGGTTTGCAGAGGCGTAGTAGTCTGGTCAGATTATTCTGAATTTATTATTTGCAAGCGCTCGATTCAGCTGACGGATATTATCGATTAATAACATACCGTCTCGATGTATTCAGCCTTGTTGTATAATATTTCACACAGCTCCATCTCTGCACAATTTTATTGTTTTGCTGGCGAACCACTTCAGTTGACCAGCAGCTGTCAACCAACCGCTCCCTCGCTATTTCCGCTTCCGGTTAGCAGCAAGACATGCCTTGTAGAACACAATAAAATGACAAGGACGGACATATATTATATATATTGTAATTTCATTGCATACACAAAGATTTTAACGAGAAAATTAGATATAAAATATGTATTATGTAATATGCACGACAACTACAAACATCAGAAATATGCAAATGTAAGTCTGCCGTAAGCCGTTTATTTACAAGTTCAGTTAATTTATAATTTTTTAGTTGAATGTGTAGGTGTTTTACTATTTTTGAATATAATACAAATCAAATTTGATTTCTGCGTAGGGCGACCAGACGCCCCGTTTTTCCCGGGACAGTCCCGTATTTCAGCTCTATTTTTAGTGTCCCGACTTATTTTGAAAAAAATCATGTTTTGTCCCTATTTCCACATTTCTCTGGGTGATCAGAGCAAGTAGTCGAAGTGTTCTGTCACGCGAGAACAGCCTAATCAAAGGTAACTAAGCTTGTCGTAGGACAAAAATGACCATCCAATCACAATTTGTTACTGATTGCAGTAAGTGAAGGTGGGATAGATAGGCGGAATCACGCTGAATGACACAGAAGCGCTCTCTCGGCCCCGCGATCCCAGTTCTGCGATCAGTTCTCCTTGCGCCTTTATTGTCAAATACACACACACCTGTCAAAATCTCCATCATGTGGAGTATCTCACGTAAATACAGTCGGTTATGGCTTAAGTGAACGTAAACAGGTGGGTGAAACCCGGATATATGTGTCAGTATATTACATTAATTCGGTCTTAAATCAGAATCAGAATCAGAATCAGAATTAGCTTTATTCGCCAGGTGTGTGCAAACACACGAGGAATTTGTTGTGGTTTTTTTTTTTTTTTTAAGGCGCTCCTGGTACATACATACATGCATACATACATACATACATACATACATATCTGACATGAGAACAGAAAAAAAAAACATTTAAATAATAAAAACTTAACAATAAATAATGTCTATGAATCTGGAACAGTAGATTTATGTACAGATTTGTGCATTATTTACTCTATATAGAACTAAAGCGGAGCTGAAGTCCACAAACAAGATTTTTAAAGGGACAGCAGCCTAATTAAATACCTGTCTGTCTCATTAATGTTAATCAAACAACAAAAGATGTATTGAACCATGAGAAATCTGGTCACCCTATTTCTGCGTGATGCTACTTTTTTACATATAACCTGCCAAACCCTCTTTAACCGCATGATGGCGCTGCTGTATCCTTTCACAGTTTTAACTCCCGCTGTCCCGCAGTACGGAGGCGGTATTCTTTTTGAAACGTGCCTCATTAATCCACAGAGCTCTGCGCTCGTGGGCTCGAATCTCACCCACAATGTTGATGAGCTTTTATCTGCCTGTAAAAAGTTTATGTCAAAATAATGTTCAAGTTTGCTATGCAAAAGTTAGTGTAGTATGCACTACAAATACCCTAAAAACTAAAAGGATGCGTCATAAATTCTAGTAAGCTATGGACTACGAATTTAGCTTGCACTATAAACCAATTAGTCCAAAGGAAAAAAATAATCATTTCCATTTCCAGTGGTTGTTTTTCATCACATTATACATTCTGTCCAGTTCAAGCACCGCTGCAGTATTTCTGTTTACTCGTGAGCTGGGAACATCCTCCTGAATGCACAGCCCCCTCACCTTGACTGAAATGTGCTCAAGCAAATGCAGTGTTGTGTAAGACCACATCTGCCAGCTTGAAATTCTCTTATAGTTATACAATACCACAGATCAGTTATCACAATGTCACAGCAGAGGTCACTTTGACATTGTATTGATTGACTAGTTATTCAGTTTTGTACACAGCTGTAGGCTGCATTGTGTGCCCCCACAACCAACACCCCTAAAACATTGTGTATCTTTAACAGAAACAGTTAACAGTAAAATCTATTTTTATTAGATCAAGCAGATAAATGTGTTGATGTTTGGCTGCTGGCGTCTGTGTGGGAGGATTTGTCTTGCCCATTTGAGTCTTTATCAATAGATTTACATCAGGAACGCATATCCCGCATTTGAACTCAAGAAACTGTTTATATGTCTCCAAGCACTGTGGAGGTGCCTTTATCTCTTTGTATATCTGCTGAAGGGACTGTTTTGATGTTCACATAAGCAAGACTTCACTGTTTTCATCACCAAATGTGGTATTTTATTCTGTTTTCTCTGATTACTGCCTCTACTGTGTTTGTCAGGGCTCTTTAAATAACATAAACTATTTTCATACTTTTCTGAATCATGCTTCTCTTAGCAGTGAAGTTCTCAGCGCTAGCTGAGCTAAAAATAGTTCAGGGGTCGCTGTGTCTAAAGAATGTGATTTTAGGTACTTTGTATGTGTGTGTGCGTGTGTAAATGCACAGAAAGATATGTGGAGTCTTGCCATCATCGTATAGTCATCACTGCAGGGCCAGGGTTTCACGGGGGCTTTATATAATACATAAAGCCTCCATGTCTGTGGGCGACGGACACACTATCTATCTGTTGAGAAGAGCCAGTGGAGCCAAAGTCAGGACGGTATTGAGTGTGTCGAGATAATTTGTTCAGGCTGTGCTTAAAGAGAAAAGGAAAACACCTTTGAAGAGATGATGCTGACCCCTGCACAGCTGCCAAAATTTCTCTAGATTGTAATCATTATGATCACACTTGTAATAATCGCTTTAATGAGCTTTTGCCTAAAATTAATTCATGTTAGCTAGCTGTATGATTCTACTATCTTGAACTGTTCATTTGTGAAATGAACATTACTTGGACACATTCACGTCTGCTTTGTAATGTAGACACATGCATTATCTTTAAAGCTGCTTTGAAACAATGTGTATTGTGAAAAGAGCTATACAAATAAATTTGAATTGAATTGAATTGAAAACTGGAGGCACTGTTAGCCATTCTCCTTTCTCTCGGTCTTATAATTGTTATTTCTTACTCTCCTGATTCAGAGTGTGTAGGTTTTGTCTCTGTTGAGTGGTTATGCTTCCTGTTTTGGGAAAATGCTATCTAATGCCATTCTCCCTGCAACAGGATCATATGTATTGAGTCATAATTACTGCGGTATATTGGCCATTGACATAGATGGTTGGCACGACATGCTGCGTGCAGTAAATATATAAACAATACTGTTCAAAGTCAATAAGATTTTTTCCAATGAAAGAGTTTTTTTTTTAGAAAGATTCTCTTATGCTCACCAAAGCTGCATTTTGTCAAAAATACGGTAAAAACACTTATATTATTTTTATAATATTGTGAAATATTATTACAATTTAGAATAGCTGTTTTTTTATTTGAATATATTTTAAAAATATAATTTATTCCAGTGTTGCAAAGCTTCCAGTCTTCATTGTCAGATGATGCTTCAGATTCATTCTAATATGCTGATTTGATGCTCAAGAAATATTTCTTATTATTGTCACTATGATAATAATTGCAGTTGTGCTGCTTACTGTTTTTGGGGAAACAGTGACACTTTTTTCAATATTCTTTGATGAATAGAAAGTTCAAAAGAATATAATTTATTTGAATTTTTTTGTAACATTATAAACATCTTTTACTTTTGATCAACTTAAACTTAATGACAGTTGTCATAAACATGCATAAAACCTTCATATTCATGACATGTGTCATGCCATGATTATGAAGGTGTCATGTCAGTCTTATGCACACCCCTTCAAGTAAAGTGTTACTCAATTTATTTAATGTTTTAACATGTTTAATTAGGTATGATGTTGAGCCTGTTCTGAATTCTAATTTTTAAATGTCAACTACCCATGCATGTATGTACAATATCACACCTTTGTGTAACACACATTCTATTAAAGCACTAGCTGAGAAGATGACCCTGACCCTGACATTAAAAGCACAGTTCTTAATGATCAATTACCTTTAGGCCAATACTTAAAAAATGCAACAACAACATGATTAAGTTCACGTTCTTCATCCAAAGCAATTAACAGCATCCAAATTGCAAAAAAAAAAAAAATATTCCCCTTAAGAGCCTTGTTCATAATAAAAATCAAGTAGTTGCCTAGACCTTCTAGCATCACTCTACCTTAAGCACCTCTGTCTTGATTAGCCATGTCGGTCTGTTTTAGCATTCCTGTAATCTTCACAACATCTGACAACAAATAAATAAATACATTATTAATTGGATTCAATCATGAAAAGAAATATGCTTTTGTGTCTCAAAAAACAATGGACACCTTTGAGGTTTCACCGCTGTGTGTCCTGTCCTTGCGTTGGTGCTCCACAGTGAGGTGACCTGATTTTGCAGGCGCTGAGGGAGAGGCCTTTCTCTGTAGAGGTTAAGACAGCCTGTCTGAGTCAGAATGCATGTACAGTGGGTACGGAAAGTATTCAGACCCCCTTAAATTTTTCACTCTTTGTTATATTGCAGCCATTTGCTAAAATCATCCATCACACTTACTGTCATTTTCCTGCTAAAAAGCATCAGTTTAAAGGAAGATGTGTGCTCATTTGAACTGAATCTTATTTACATGTATGTTAGAACTAGATAAATAAGATTCAGTTTAAATGAATCTTATTTACATGTATGTTAGAACTAGATAAATAACCAGACCTTTCAAGTATGCCCTTTATGATATTGATTATTTATTATTATTATTATTATTATTATTTTATTATTATTAGTTTTTTTACATTTTTAACTATTGTACCTAAAGTTGATATCTGAAAGTTAATCTGAATACATATTTGCATGGATTGATCTACAGACCTGTTTAACTAAATATTATTTTATGAAATTAATTACATTAATAATTTTAAATATATTTTATTATTATTGCTGTTGTTATGTGTTCATCTCTCCTTCATATTTATTATATTTCATAAATGGGTCTTTATACAAAAAATATACAGTTGTCTTTGTTTTAGGAAGGGGGTCTCTCTCAAGGGTATCATATCTGGGGGCTTCATGGCTTTTAAAATTTTGAAAACCCTTGCACTACAAGACGCTATGTGTAAAAATATCCCACAATTAATCCCATTTTATCCAAGAA